GAAGCAGAATCACCAGAAGTTCCAGGGCATCCTGTGGACGATGTAGATCAGGCAGACATGGATCGACTCAACGCCGAGTACCAAGAGCTGGTCAAGGAGGTGGGTGACAAAATGGATTATCAGGTGCTTAGGTATGCTGTGCCGATGAGATCCAGAAGAGCTTCGGAAGTCAACGCTGGGGTGAGACAGATGTATTTGCAAGTGAAGGCGGATGGATTGGAGGTGTTCAGGTTGCACTCAGATCGAGCAACGGAGCTTTGCAATCGTCGTCTTCGCGAATGGCTACTAGACCGTGGAGTCTTGGCTACCACAGGAGAAGCTCAAACACCCCAACAGAATGGAAGAGCCGAAGCCACTGTCAAGTTTGTGAAGGCCGAAGCCAGACTGTTGATGACAACAGCGCAGTTGCCGAAGCAAACATGGCCCTTAGCTATGCGGTACGCCACAACCCGACAGCGACACAAGGCCCTGGGAAGGACCGATGAGCTACCTTGCTTTGGGACTCCCGTTCATGTCAGGACAAAGATCTATGGCAAGGCTGGGAAGTATGATGTGGACAACAAGTGGGCGCAAGGGGTGTATGTCGGACCTTCAGAAGATGTTCAACATGGGCACGTGGTACGGTTCCCCGATGGCACGTTTGTCACAAGCTTGCACCTGAAGCAGAAGTTAATTAATGCAGACGAGCTGGTGGATTTGGAGCCTCGAGAAGTTGAGCTACCTCTGCCCGAGAGGAGAGTTCGAAGGAAGACGCGGCTGGCACGGATACAAGGCGAGCATCCATTGACGGCTGAGGAGGAGGCTGCCGAGCTCAAGGCGAAATGCTTGTGGAAGGAAGGGGATTGGTCCATGCAAGCGATGTTGACCTTGTATGAGTGTCTCCAAACAGCTCGAGGGAAGCAAGTGTCAGGAAGAGCAGCGTCGTCACCGGGCTCGTCGTGGTACACCGGCACGTTTGTTCATGGGGGTGTGGCTGGTCTGAGGTCTTCGACTACAAGACTGAAGTGGAGTACAAGGTACATGGTGGAAGCGGCTAAAAGGCTCACTGGGCATCGAAGCTTTACGGCCTTAGGTGTACTGCAAGACATGGACAATGGGTGTCACAAGGATTCACACAATGAGGTGGACTCAGAAAATGTGGTCATGATGCTACAGGCTCCTGATTGTGGGGGAGAGTTATGGTTGGAACATGAGGACATCGACGCAAGGTACGCAGAGTGGAAGCAAGTGTCTCGCAAGTTGTGGAAAAAGGGGTTTTCCCATAAGTTGGAGGTGGGTCGAGCCTTCAAGTTCAATCCTCGCCGATGGCATGAAGTTCAGCCATGGGTTGGGAAAAGGACTGTCTTGGTGCTGTACACTCCAAGGATCAACAAGCTACACTATCGAGATAAGGACGTGATGGAGTTCCTGGGATTTGAGAGTGAATACTTGATCCACAACAATGCGGTGCAGTCCAATGACCACGTGATCCACAACAATGCGGTGCAGTCCAATGACCACGTGATCCACAACAATGC